CCGACTGAGAGGGGGTGGAAGGACACAACGCCTGCATATCCCGGTCAGGTGCTCACGCTGTGGGCTGGATGGAAGGATAACAATGGAAAGCCGCTTCTATTTGACGCTTCTGTCGGGCCGGGATACGTGTACCATTGCCACATGCTGGATCACGAGGATAACGACATGATGCGGCCGTTCAAGTTCGTGCCGAATGGTCGCTGATAAACGACCATTCAATGAGCTAACGTCGCGAGCCGCGACTGTGTATAACCGGGGGGGTTCTTAACGTGTAGGGTATGGTAGTTAACTGGGATTGCTGCTAAGCAAGTTAGTACGACGCGTTCATTGCTGGGAATAGAGCTTGTTGCTTATTCATGGGATGACTGACAGATAAACCAATGGGATCTGACTCGGGGGATGGTTCGCTAGGGATGGACTGACTGCGCTAACTGTTCTGTTCATGTTTTGTAAAAAACGATGTTGCTGCCATTGCGACAAGAAGCCGTTTATTTGATAATTCATAGCGGACGCACTGCTAATTTGCTACCGTTGTAGTCTGACTTAGATATACAGCAATGCACACATATGGTTCTATTGCTATGGTTACTGATACTCACCATAAGAGCAGTAAATACGTTAGTACACCAGGTTAAACATAAAGAAACGCCAAATCAGTTGTTACTTGCGTATCTTCAATGGCCGCATCATGTCATTATCCTCATGGTCGAGTATGTGGCAGTGCCAAACGTATCCTGGCCCAGAGGTAGGGTCAAACTCGAATGGCTTGCCATCCTGTTGTGATTGCAGAGAGGGGCGCATACAGAGGTGGAAATGCAGGAGAAGTGTTACAATGCAACATGCAAGAGCGTATGAGGGTGGACCAAGCAGGATTTGAGTGTACAGCAAAGAGAGTAGTGTATGCCTGTGACACTTGGGTTGTGCCTCAGTGTGATTACAGCAGCCACCCATCACCACCAATCCCCCCTTCCCCCTTCTTTCCAAACTCTTTCCCACTCTATCCTCCTCTCTCCCTTCTCACCTTCCATCTCTCCTTGCCAATCACGGTAGCTCACCTGGCCATACCAGCCGACCCAGAACGTGAGCACTTGACCCGGAAGCGCAGGCACTGTGTCTTTCCACCCAATCTCGTGTTTCTGCGCCTTCATCTCCGGTCCCACGAAGCACGACGGACGGTTCTTGCTCGTGAAGGAGCACTTGTTCGCCTGGTACGCCGTGGCGTCGAAAGCGCGACGCGAAACGACCCGGAATTGCACCAAGTGCAAGTGAATAGGGTGCGCGTCGGCCGAGAGGTTGATGATATGCCAGATCTCGTTACTGCCTTGTACAGGGATCTCCGTTACTGGGTCCATATAACGAAGCCCGTCTATAGTGACTCGTTCTGGCATGCCGCTTATAGGGTTGGTAGTCTCCAGTAGCTTCTTCCAGCGCACTCTGTGGATCTTGGAGAAGTCTATAGAGGGGACAGGCTGGAAGGGATGTGGTGGATAGAGGAGAGAAGCGGAGAAGAGTGGGTGAGAGCTCATGTGGAAGGTTGAGCGGACAGGGGAGAGTGGGTCAAGGGGGAAAGGGGGAAAGGGAAAGGTTGATTCATTGAGTGATCTTGGAATAAGAAACAAGCCAGGAAAGGGGGAGGATCGAACAAGGGGAATGGGGGAAATGCCAAGGAGAAAGAGATAGGAAGACCCGTACAACTATTAGGAAATGCCAAGGGGAAAGTGGCAAGGAGGAGGAGAAGTAGCCAGAAGCGTACAACAATTCTCTTGGGAATTGCCGGAGCCTTGAAGGGGCTGCGGTCGAGAATCACAAACCGCATCACCACGCCCGTGTTCCCATCCACCGCCTCTCCCCCGGGATACGGCGCTGCGGCATCATTCGTTACAATCACATCCCTGCACGCGCCGCCCTGCCGCGCCGCGGCAAAGTCAACAAGAATATCGTATCTCTCCCCGGGAGCCAGCAGCAGCGAGGACAGAAACACGGGCCGCTGCAGGTATCCCCCGTCGCTGCCAATGAGCGCGAAATTGATGACGCTTCCGCGGAGGGGGGGGACGAAGTTGGGGTAGTCTCCGCGCGCGGCGCACTGGAAGCGGAGGTTGAAGAAGCGCGCGTTGGCCGCGCCGAGGAGGAGGAAGCGGTACACCGCGGGGCGCACGCGCAGATACGGCCAAACCACGCCGTTAACCACGATCGTGTCGCCTACGTACTCGGGAATCCAATTCGGATGCACTTTCGGATCGACGCCCACGTTGGGGAAATTAATCGACCCGTTCTTGAAGAACAGGCGGTCCGCGATCGCGAGAGGCACGGTGCGCTTCCAGGGGGGAAGCCATGACTTCATGTCCCGCTCATCCCCGTTAGGGTCGGTTTTGATATAGAACCCCGCCATCCCAGCTACAGTGTTGAGGCGCGTCCACGCGAGTGTGTGGTCGTGATACCAGGTGAGGGAGGCCGGCTGCTGGTTCAGATACTCGTAGGTGGCGCAGGCGGAGGATGAAGAGGAGGAGGAAGAGGAGTAAGAGGAGTTGGAGGAGTGTGAGGAATAGGGATTCCTCACACTCCTCCAACTCCTCTTACTCCTCTTCCTCCTCCTCTTCATCCTCCGCCTGCGCCACCTACGAGTATCTGAACCAGCAGCCGGCCTCCCTCACCTGGTATCACGACCACACACTCGCGTGGACGCGCCTCAACACTGTAGCTGGGATGGCGGGGTTCTATATCAAAACCGACCCTAACGGGGATGAGCGGGACATGAAGTCATGGCTTCCCCCCTGGAAGCGCACCGTGCCTCTCGCGATCGCGGACCGCCTGTTCTTCAAGAACGGGTCGATTAATTTCCCCAACGTGGGCGTCGATCCGAAAGTGCATCCGAATTGGATTCCCGAGTACGTAGGCGACACGATCGTGGTTAACGGCGTGGTTTGGCCGTATCTGCGCGTGCGCCCCGCGGTGTACCGCTTCCTCCTCCTCGGCGCGGCCAACGCGCGCTTCTTCAACCTCCGCTTCCAGTGCGCCGCGCGCGGAGACTACCCCAACTTCGTCCCCCCCCTCCGCGGAAGCGTCATCAATTTCGCGCTCATTGGCAGCGACGGGGGATACCTGCAGCGGCCCGTGTTTCTGTCCTCGCTGCTGCTGGCTCCCGGGGAGAGATACGATATTCTTGTTGACTTTGCCGCGGCGCGGCAGGGCGGCGCGTGCAGGGATGTGATTGTAACGAATGATGCCGCAGCGCCGTATCCCGGGGGAGAGGCGGTGGATGGGAACACGGGCGTGGTGATGCGGTTTGTGATTCTCGACCGCAGCCCCTTCAAGGCTCCGGCAATTCCCAAGAGAATTGTTGTACGCTTCTGGCTACTTCTCCTCCTCCTTGCCACTTTCCCCTTGGCATTTCCTAATAGTTGTACGGGTCTTCCTATCTCTTTCTCCTTGGCATTTCCCCCATTCCCCTTGTTCGATCCTCCCCCTTTCCTGGCTTGTTTCTTATTCCAAGATCACTCAATGAATCAACCTTTCCCTTTCCCCCTTTCCCCCTTGACCCACTCTCCCCTGTCCGCTCAACCTTCCACATGAGCTCTCACCCACTCTTCTCCGCTTCTCTCCTCTATCCACCACATCCCTTCCAGCCTGTCCCCTCTATAGACTTCTCCAAGATCCACAGAGTGCGCTGGAAGAAGCTACTGGAGACTACCAACCCTATAAGCGGCATGCCAGAACGAGTCACTATAGACGGGCTTCGTTATATGGACCCAGTAACGGAGATCCCTGTACAAGGCAGTAACGAGATCTGGCATATCATCAACCTCTCGGCCGACGCGCACCCTATTCACTTGCACTTGGTGCAATTCCGGGTCGTTTCGCGTCGCGCTTTCGACGCCACGGCGTACCAGGCGAACAAGTGCTCCTTCACGAGCAAGAACCGTCCGTCGTGCTTCGTGGGACCGGAGATGAAGGCGCAGAAACACGAGATTGGGTGGAAAGACACAGTGCCTGCGCTTCCGGGTCAAGTGCTCACGTTCTGGGTCGGCTGGTATGGCCAGGTGAGCTACCGTGATTGGCAAGGAGAGATGGAAGGTGAGAAGGGAGAGAGGAGGATAGAGTGGGAAAGAGTTTGGAAAGAAGGGGGAAGGGGGGATTGGTGGTGATGGGTGGCTGCTGTAATCACACTGAGGCACAACCCAAGTGTCACAGGCATACACTACTCTCTTTGCTGTACACTCAAATCCTGCTTGGTCCACCCTCATACGCTCTTGCATGTTGCATTGTAACACTTCTCCTGCATTTCCACCTCTGTATGCGCCCCTCTCTGCAATCACAACAGGATGGCAAGCCATTCGAGTTTGACCCTACCTCTGGGCCAGGATACGTTTGGCACTGCCACATACTCGACCATGAGGATAATGACATGATGCGGCCATTGAAGATACGCAAGTAACAACTGATTTGGCGTTTCTTTATGTTTAACCTGGTGTACTAACGTATTTACTGCTCTTATGGTGAGTATCAGTAACCATAGCAATAGAACCATATGTGTGCATTGCTGTATATCTAAGTCAGACTACAACGGTAGCAAATTAGCAGTGCGTCCGCTATGAATTATCAAATAAACGGCTTCTTGTCGCAATGGCAGCAACATCGTTTTTTACAAAACATGAACAGAACAGTTAGCGCAGTCAGTCCATCCCTAGCGAACCATCCCCCGAGTCAGATCCCATTGGTTTATCTGTCAGTCATCCCATGAATAAGCAACAAGCTCTATTCCCAGCAATGAACGCGTCGTACTAACTTGCTTAGCAGCAATCCCAGTTAACTACCATACCCTACACGTTAAGAACCCCCCCGGTTATACACAGTCGCGGCTCGCGACGTTAGCTCATTGAATGGTCGTTTATCAGCGACCATTCGGCACGAACTTGAACGGCCGCATCATGTCGTTATCCTCGTGATCCAGCATGTGGCAATGGTACACGTATCCCGGCCCGACAGAAGCGTCAAATAGAAGCGGCTTTCCATTGTTATCCTTCCATCCAGCCCACAGCGTGAGCACCTGACCGGGATATGCAGGCGTTGTGTCCTTCCACCCCCTCTCAGTC